TAGGTTCACAATCAGCCATCAGCATCAGCAGCAGCAGTAGCAGCAGCACGATATCACAACACCTGCGTATATTGCTAAGTTAAGCATTGTATGGGACCAGATTATGGATGCACATTAGTCAGTGGTCGACTGGAACCCCAAAGAACAGATTTAGTAGCAGTTCCATGGTGGTGGTGGTGCGGTATACTCAATAACTTGAGTGCAACAGAGGCAGTCCTACAAACTGATCATTACCTATTTTCAGGACAACATTAGCAAACTGTGAAATATCATGGGCAGTAAAATTGGACTGTTTCTTTTGGGGATAGATGCTGTCTATAACAAACGACTTTATCTGTTATTTGCTGTTAATATAACGTTACTTCAAAATATGACACAATGCTGGTTTTGTTCACAATTCAGTCATCTGCAGCATTTAGTGCACACTATAAGCATAGTGAGAAGTAAGATGATCCCATCCCCCCCTCACACACCCATTAACCACCTTAGTTTGCTAATTCATTACAAAATAAAAAAGATAATTTAATTCTGATCGCACCAATGCAATTTTTGCGGAGGTTTTCACAAGAACCAACACTAAAAATTGTACCAAAGGAAAAAGTGTCAGGTACATAAACAGTGGAACAAAAAAGGCAGTTGTGTAGCTGCACTTCGAGTAAACTTTATACATGATGCGTCAACTCCTTTTGCCTCTCTTCTGGATATAATTAAGTGTTAATCGCTGCCACGATATAAATTCTATAACAAGTCCCAAGTTGGTTGGAGTAATAACTTAGTGACTGTTGATAATATTCGCAAGTCTGTGGGTGAGTCAGTAAACTGTGTCACCAATTTAAGGGTGTACACGAAAAAAAAAAACGTGATGGAATTTTGTTTTTTTCTGTTGGAAAGAAGACATAAACAGTGTGGGATGCAGAATTATAGTTTGTTTTGGGAGTGATGGGTTTGGCAACTTAGTTTAAGAAAATGTGAGGTTGTGAGTGTAACAAAGAAAATGTGAGGTTGTGAGTGTAACAAAGAAAATGTGAGGTTGTGAGTGTAACAAAGAAAATGTGAGGTTGTGAGTGTAACAAAGAAAAGTGAGGTTGTGAGTGTAACAAAGAAAATGTGAGGTTGTGAGTGTAACAAAGAAAATGTGAGGTTGTGAGTGTAACAAAGAAAATGTGAGGTTGTGAGTGTAACAAAGAAAATGTGAGGTTGTGAGTGTAACAAAGAAAATGTGAGGTTGTGAGTGTAACAAAGAAAATGTGAGGTTGTGAGTGTAACAAAGAAAATGTGAGGTTGTGAGTGTAACAAAGAAAATGTGAGGTTGTGAGTGTTAACAAAGAAAATGTGAGGTTGTGAGTGTAACAAAGAAAATGTGAGGTTGTGAGTGTAACAAAGAAAATGTGAGGTTGTGAGTGTAACAAAGAAAATGTGAGGTTGTGAGTGTAACAAAGAAAATGTGAGGTTGTGAGTGTAACAAAGAAAATGTGAGGTTGTGAGTGTAACAAAGAAAATGTGAGGTTGTGAGTGTAACAAAGAAAATGTGAGGTTGTGAGTGTAACAAAGAAAATGTGAGGTTGTGAGTGTAACAAAAAAAGAAAAAATGTGAGGTTGTGAGTGTAACAAAAAAATGTGAGGTTGTGAGTGTAACAAAGAAAATGTGAGGTTGTGAGTGTAACAAAGAAAATGTGAGGTTGTGAGTGTAACAAAGAAAATGTGAGGTTGTGAGTGTAACAACGAAAATGTGAGGTTGTGAGTGTAACAAAGAAAATGTGAGGTTGTGAGTGTAACAACGAAAATGTGAGGTTGTGAGTGTAACAAAGAAAATGTGAGGTTGTGAGTGTAACAAAGAAAATGTGAGGTTGTGAGTGTAACAAAGAAAATGTGAGGTTGTGAGTGTAACAAAGAAAATGTGAGGTTGTGAGTGTAACAAAGAAAATGTGAGGTTGTGTGTAACAAAGAAAATGTGAGGTTGTGAGTGTAACAAAGAAAATGTGAGGTTGTGAGTGTAACAAAGAAAATGTGAGGTTGTGAGTGTAACAAAGAAAATGTGAGGTTGTGAGTGTAACAAAGAAAATGTGAAGTGTGAGTGTACAAGAAAATGTGAGGTTAGTGTAACAAAGAAAATGTGAGGTTGTGAGTGTAACAAAGAAAATGTGAGGTTGTGAGTGTAACAAAGAAAATGTGAGGTTGTGAGTGTAACAAAGAAAATGTGAGGTTGTGAGTGTAACAAAGAAAATGTGAGGTTGTGAGTGTAACAACGAAAATGTGAGGTTGTGAGTGTAACAAAGAAAATGTGAGGTTGTGAGTGTAACAACGAAAATGTGAGGTTGTGAGTGTAACAAAGAAAATGTGAGGTTGTGAGTGTAACAAAGAAAATGTGAGGTTGTGAGTGTAACAAAGAAAATGTGAGGTTGTGAGTGTAACAAAGAAAATGTGAGGTTGTGAGTGTAACAAAGAAAATGTGAGGTTGTGAGTGTAACAAAGAAAATGTGAGGTTGTGAGTGTAACAAAGAAAATGTGAGGTTGTGAGTGTAACAACGAAAATGTGAGGTTGTGAGTGTAACAAAGAAAATGTGAGGTTGTGAGTGTAACAACGAAAATGTGAGGTTGTGAGTGTAACAACGAAAATGTGAGGTTGTGAGTGTAACAAAGAAAATGTGAGGTTGTGAGTGTAACAAAGAAAATGTGAGGTTGTGAGTGTAACAAAGAAATGTGAGGTGGAGTGTAACAAAGAAAATGTGAGGTTGTGAGTGTAACAAAGAAAATGTGAGGTTGTGAGTGTAACAAAAAAATGTGAGGTTGTGAGTGTAACAAAGAAAATGTGAGGTTGTGAGTGTAACAAAGAAAATGTGAGGTTGTGAGTGTAACAAAGAAAATGTGAGGTTGTGAGTGTAACAAAGAAAATGTGAGGTTGTGAGTGTAACAAAGAAAATGTGAGGTTGTGAGTGTAACAAAGAAAATGTGAGGTTGTGAGTGTAACAAAGAAAATGTGAGGTTGTGAGTGTAACAAAGAAAATGTGAGGTTGTGAGTGTAACAAAGAAAATGTGAGGTTGTGAGTGTAACAAAGAAAATGTGAGGTTGTGAGTGTAACAAAGAAAATGTGAGGTTGTGAGTGTAACAAAGAAAATGTGAGGTTGTGAGTGTAACAAAGAAAATGTGAGGTTGTGAGTGTAACAAAGAAAATTTTGAGGTTGTGAGTGTAACAAAGAAAATGTGAGGTTGTGAGTGTAACAAAGAAAATGTGAGGTTGTGAGTGTAACAAAGAAAATGTGAGGTTGTGAGTGTAACAAAGAAAATGTGAGGTTGTGAGTGTAACAAAGAAAATGTGAGGTTGTGAGTGTAACAACGAAAATGTGAGGTTGTGAGTGTAACAAAGAAAATGTGAGGTTGTGAGTGTAACAAAGAAAATGTGAGGTTGTGAGTGTAACAAAGAAAATGTGAGGTTGTGAGTGTAACAAAGAAATGTGAGGTTGTGAGTGTAACAACGAAAATGTGAGGTTGTGAGTGTAACAAAGAAAATGTGAGGTTGTGAGTGTAACAAAGAAAATGTGAGGTTGTGAGTGTAACAAAGAAAATGTGAGGTTGTGAGTGTAACAAAGAAAATGTGAGGTTGTGAGTGTAACAAAGAAAATGTGAGGTTGTGAGTGTAACAAAGAAAATGTGAGGTTGTGAGTGTAACAAAGAAAATGTGAGGTTGTGAGTGTAACAACGTAAAAGTGATTGTGAGTGTAACAAAGAAAATGTTTGTGGTGTAAAGAAAATTATGTAAACCATAAATTTTGCTGAGTGAACAATTATGATAAAAGGACAGAAGAAATTTGGGTAAAACCTCTGGTGTGAACATTATGTTAACCTCTGGTGTGAACATTATGTTAAACCTCTGGTGTGAACATTATGTTAAACCTCTGGTGTGAACATTATGTTAAACCTCTGGTGTGAACATTATGTTAAACCTCTGGTGTGAACATTATGTTAAACCTCTGGTGTGAACATTATGTTAAACCTCTGGTGTGAACATTATGTTAAACCTCTGTGTGAATTTGTTAAACCCATGTGTGAAAATTATGTTAAACCTCTGGTGTTGGGAAAATTATGTTAAACCTCTGGTGTGAACATTATGTTAAACCTCTGGTGTGAACATTATGTTAAACCCCTGGTGTGAACATTATATTAAACCTCTGGTGTGAACATTATGTTAAACCTCTGGTGTGAACATTATGTTAAACCCTGGTGTGAACATTATATTAAACCCTGGTGTGAATTACAACTTGGAGTGAACATTATGTTAAACCTCTGGTGTGAACATTATATTAAACCCCTGGTGAGTTGCTCTAAACATAATTACCCACAGTCTCTCACCTGGTCACACCTCCTGTCCTCTCATTGGTAACAGAAATAAGACAGGAGAGGATGATGGCGTAGAAATATTGTTTTTATGCAAGTAAATTTACAGGCTTTGAGGTGTTGTCTTACCTGAGTATATTTCAAAGCCTAAGTTATACTACCTCCGGGATGCCACCCACAACAGTCAACTAACATAAGGTACCTACTTACTGCTAGGTGAACAGGGACAGTAGGTGTAAGGAAACATGCCCAGAGTGCCCACCCGTGCCGGGGATCGAAGCCTTAGTATGTGTACTGAGGGCGCTACCAGATGAGCCACGAGACACCTTATAAGTATACTTTCTTTTCAGTGTTTATATACAGAGACACTTCTCTAGGTGTACTATATACACAGGTGTACCCCTCACTTTATTATATATAAGCATATATAAGCAAGTATACATCACAGTGTATAAACACGACCAGTTATTTTAATCCATATTAATGTGTATTCTTAAGTCAGAAACAAGGAAGATTGAGGATGACTGTAAGCTAGTTGTGTTAAGATACCGAGTGTGGGATATCTTAAGATATCCACTTGCCCTTTAAGATATCCTACCTTACCCTTCAGGATATCCTGCCTCTTTACAATATCCTGCCGCCCCACCAAAATATCCTAATATTTCAGATGGTCAGTGCCTCCTGCCAGCCAGGCCGATGAGTACCGTGTCAAGTGGGAGGGCCACGCGGGCCACCTCTCCCAGCAAGTGGCCCGCCTCGAGCATGACCCGGCCAGTGCTGACCTCACTGTGGCCACCAAGGGCGCCTCCATCCCCGCCCACAGGATCGTGCTAGCCGCCGCCAGCACCTTCTTCAGGGCTGTGTTGCAGGTGTGACAGTCACTCCAGAGCTTGTCTCCCATTATTTGTTAACACTCACTCTTAAATACATATCTCTATTATTTTCTTCTTCTTGTCATTCTCCTTCTTACTACTACTACTAATAATGATAATAAAAGTAATAACGTTGATGATGATAATGGTGATGATATTATTATTTTTATATAAGCAACACACACACACACACACACACACACACACACACACACACACACACACACACACACACACAACACATACACACACACTGCAGGAGAAAGCACGGCTGAGAGGCAAGCAGGAGTTCCGGAGTGTGTACCTCGACCGAGACAGAACACAGGACGAAAGGAAGACAATGAAAGAGAGAGTTCAAAAACGAAAGGAGAAATGGGAGGAAATGAAAAAGGAGAGCAGAATAACCCAGGATCAAATGGAAGGACAAGCGCACCCCCCAGAAACACCTGCAGAAGGACTCCAGCCACGACACCCCCAAGGCAACTGAACAATCCAAACCAACCATCACACACGGATCCCTCTGTTTCCACCCCCGCACCACAGTTACAGTATTAGAACAGAAGTTGAAGGTTTGGTACACAAATGCAGATGGATTAACGAATAAACATGAGGAATGGCAAGAAAGAATCAATGAGAAGTCCCCAGACATCATAGCAGTTACAGAAACAAAACTCATGGAGACAATAACAGATGCAATCTTCCCACCAGGATACCAGATCATGAGGAAAGATAGAAGGGGCAGGGGGGGAGGTGGGGTTGCTCTGCTCGTAAAAAACAGATGGAAATTCGAGAAAAGGGAAGGAATATATGAGACAGGAGAAAGAGACTACATAGCAGGTACACTTCAGTCTGGGGAACACAAAGTGGTCATTGCAGTGATGTATAATCCACCACAGAACTGCAGGAGGCCAAGAGAGGAATATGAAGAGAGCAACAGAGCAATGGTGGACACACTTGCTGAGGTGGCAAGAAGAGCTCACTCCAGCAGAGCAAAGTTGCTGGTTATGGGGATTTCAACCACAGGGAGATTGACTGGGAAAACCTGGAGCCACATGGGGGTCCCGAAACATGGAGAGCCAGGATGTTGGACGTGGTGCTGGTAAACTTCATGCACCAACATGTTAAGGACACTACCAGAGTGAGAGGGGAGGATGAACCAGCAAGATTGGACCTTGTGTTCACCCTGGGCAGCTCAGACATTGAGGACATCAAGTATGAGAGTCCCCTAGGAGCTAGCGACCACGTGGTTCTGTGCTTTGAATACATAGTAGAGCTGCAAGTGGAGAGAATAACAGGAGTAGAATGGGAAAAGCCTGACTATAAAAGAGGGGACTACATAGGGTTGAAGAACTTCCTGCGGGAGGTCCAGTGGGACAGAGAACTGGCAGGAAAGCCAGTAAAGAAATGATGGAATATGTAGCAACAAAATGCAAGGAGGCAGTGGAAAGGTTCATTCGCAAGGGCAACAGTAACAACGGGAATACCAGAACAAGCCCCTGGTTTACCCGACGGTGTAAGGAGGCAAAAACAAAGTGCAATGGAGAATGGAAAAAGTACAGAAGGCAGAGAACACACGAAAATAGGGAGATCAGTCGCAGAGCCAGGAATGAGTACGCACAGGTAAGGAGGGAGGCCCAGCGACAGTATGAAAATGACATAGCATCGAGAATCAAGAATGACCCGAAACTGTTGTATAGCCACATCAGGAGGAAGACAACAGTCAAAGACCAGGTGATCAGATTAAGGACAGAAGGTGGAGAACTCACAAGAAATGATCAGGAGGTATGTGAGGAGCTGAACAGGAGATTTAAGGAAGTTTTTACAGTAGAGACAGGAAGGGCTGTGGGAAGACAGCACAGAAGGGAACATCAAGAGGGAATATACCAACAAGTGTTGGATGACATACGAACAACTGAGGAGGAGGTGAAGAAGCTCTTAAGTGACCTTGACACCTCAAAGGCGATGGGACCGGACAACATCTCCCCATGGGTCCTTAGAGAAGGAGCAGAGATGCTGTGTGTGCCTCTAACCACAATCTTCAACACATCCCTTGAAACTGGGCAACTACCTGAGAAATGGAAGACAGCTAATGTAGTCCCATATTTAAGAAAGGAAACAGAAACGAGGCACTAAACTACAGACCTGTGTCTCTGACATGTATTGTGTGCAAAGTCATGGAGAAGATTATCAGGAGGAGAGTGGTCGAACACCTGGAAAGGAACAAGATTATAAATGAAAACCAGCATGGGTTCATGGAAGGCAAATCTTGTATCACAAACCTCCTGGAGTTTTATGGCAAGGTAACAGAAGTAAGACACGAGAGAGAGGGTTGGGTAGATTGCGTTTTCCTAGACTGCAGGAAGGCCTTTGACACAGTTCCCCACAAAGAAGGATTAGTGCAGGAAGCAGGAGGATCAGGACACGTCCGTAAAGGAAGGGCACTGGAATGGGATAAGGGATAATACCTGACAGGGAGGCAGCAACGAGTCATGGTACGTGAAAGTAGTTCCAGTGGGGCCTGTTACGAGCGGGTCCCACAGGGGTCAGTTCTAGACAGTGCTATTTTTGATATATGTGAACGACATGATGGAAGGAATAGACTCTGAAGTGTCCTGTTCGCAGATGACGTGAAGTTGATGAGAAGAATTAAATCGGACGAGGATGAGGCAGGACTGCAAAGAGACCTGGAGAGGCTGGACATGTGGTCCAGTAACTGGCTTCTCGAATTCAATCCAGCCAAATGCAAAGTCATGAAGATTGGGGAGGGGCAAAGAAGACCGCAGACAGAGTATAGGCTAGGCGGACAAAGACTACAGACCTCACTCAGGAAGAAAGACCTTGGGGTGACCATAACACCGAGCACATCACCGGAGGCACACATCAACCAAATAACCGCTGCAGCATACGGGCGCCTGGCAAACCTGAGAATAGCTTCCGATACCTTCATAAGGAATCGTTCAAGACACTGTACACTGTGTATGTTAGGCCCATACTGGAGTATGCAGCACCAGTCTGGAACCCACACCTGGTCAAGCACGTCAAGAAGTTAGAGAAAGTACAAAGGTTTGCAACAAGGCTAGTCCCAGAGCTCAAGGGAATGTCGTACGAGCAAAGGTTAAGGGAAATCGGACTGACGACACTGGAGGACAGAAGGGTCAGGGGAGACATGATAACGACATACAAGATACTGCGGGGAATAGACAAGGTGGACAGAGATAGGATGTTCCAGAGAGGGGACACAGGGACAAGGGGTCACAACTGGAAGCTGAAGACTCAGACGAGTCACAGGGACGTTAGGAAGTATTTCTTCAGTCATAGAGTTATCAGCAAGTGGAATAGCCTAGCAAGTGAAGTAGTGGAGGCAGGAACCATACATAGTTTTAAGAAGAGGTATGACAAAGCTCAGGAAGCAGAGAGAGAGAGGATCCAGTAGCGATCAGTGAAGAGGCGGGGCCAGGAGATGAGTCTCGACCCCTGCAACCACAATTAGGTGAGTACAATTAGGTGAGTACATACACACACACACACACACATACACACACACACACACACACACACACATACACACACATACACACACACACATACACACACCACACATACACACACACACACACACACACACACACACACACACACACACACACACACACACACACACACATTGGGGAAGGGCAAAGAAGACCGCAGACACAATATAGTTTAGATGGCCAAAGACTGCAAACCTCACTCAAGGAAAAAGATCTGGGGGTGAGTATAACACCGAGCATATCTCCTGAGGCGCACATCAATCAGATAACTGCTGCAGCATACGGGCGCCTGGCAACCCTACGGATAGCGTTCCGATACCTCAGTAAGGATTCGTTTAAGACTCTGTACACCATCTACGTCAGGCCCATACTGGAGTATGCAGCACCAGTTTGGAATCCACACCTAGTCAAGCACGTCAAGAAATTAGAGAAAGTGCAAAGGTTTGCAACAAGACTAGTCCCAGAGCTACAGGGGATTGTCCTATGAAGAAAGGTTGAGGGAAATCGGCCTGACGACACTGGAGGCCAGGAGGGTCAGGGGAGACATGATAACGACATATAAAATACTGCGCAGAATAGACGAGGTGGACAAAGACGGGATGTTCCAGAGATGGGACACAGACACAAGAGGTCACAATTGGAAGTTGAAGACTTAGATGAATCAAAGGGATGTTAGGAAGTATTTCTTCAGTCATAGAGTAGTCAGGCCATGGAATAGCTTAGAAAGTGATGTGGTGGAGGCAGGAACCATACATAGTTTTAAGGCGAAGTATGATAGAGCTCATGGGGCAGGGAGAGAGAGGACCTAGTAGCAATCAGCGAAGAGGCGGGGCCAGGAGCTGTGACTCGACCCCTGCAACCACAAATAGGTGAGTACAAATAGGTGAGTACACACACGTGGGTCCGTGGGGTGCAGACGTGGGTAACAAGGCTCCGAGATCCTTAGCGTTGTTAGGCGTGCAATAACAGCTAGCAGTAATCAGTGGTAGTGGAACGTCAGTGAACAATACTACGAGTGATAATTAAAGTTATTAGTTAAAGAAAGTGAGAGGAAAGCTGAAATCAAAATATTTCAAAGTGCAAACCGTTGGGGGTCTTAGGCGCTGTTGCCACATTGGCAACGGTAGGCCTGAAGAAGTGACGTCACGACAAGTTGTGTGCCATTATACATATAAAGTGAAGTGTATATAATGTGAAGTGTATACTATCATCAGTGAAGAGTGAAATCGCTTGAGGAAGCGGGATGTATGAGAATATATGGTTATAAACATCACGGGTGAAGGATCTCCAAAATAAGGATTTAAGGCCTACGTACGACGACTTCGTCATCAGCAGCTGGCAACTTGTCACCGCACCATTGAGCGCAAGTTTCATTTGCCTATTTGTGGTTTGCATGTTGACGGCCCCTGGGGCCTTGCATACTGTTTGATATTTGGTCACTCACCCCCTCCCAAGCAAAAAAACCAA